GGCGGCCGGGGTCCCGGGGTCGGAGGCCGGAGGCTCGGGTGGGCGGATGGCGGGCCCGGGCGTGGGGCAGCAGTGGGGCATGGGGGGCCCCCGCGACCAGCCTGCTCCTTCAGTCCGAGGACCGCGAGGAGACCCAGGAGGCGGTGCGCGCGTGCAGCCGCCTTTTCGGGGCCCTGCTGGAGCGGGGAGAGCTGTTTGTGGGCCGGCTGCCGTCCGAGGGCCCGGTCATGGCAGGTGAGCGTCCCCGGGGCGCCGGGCTGTCCTCTGGCTGCGGGCCCGCGGGTCAGTGGAGGGGCACAGAGCCCACGGTGGGGGCGGGGGAGGATGGTGCTGGGGGCAGAGACAGCCCCGCAGCCCGGTTACCACGGGGTCTGTTCGTGGCGTCTGACGCTGTCCGATCTGTGCGCTCAGCATCGCAGGAAGCTGGGGTCATGCGTCCCCACCCCCGGTCGTTTAGGTTTTGGGGTAAAGTGAGGGGCGAGGGACTGTGCCCTCGGGGTAGGAGGTTCTTTCGTCCCGCCCCAGGTTTGGGGCCACGGTGACTGCACCCGTTTCCCTGGTGGGGCTGGGTGGAGAGTAGCGGGCACGTGTGGGCTGACCCTGTTGCTCCCCGTAGGGTCTCAGGGGGCTACACGCAAATACAAGGTGTGGATGAGACATCGCTACCACAGTTGTTGTAACCGCCTGCAGGAGCTTCTGGCTCACCCCTCCTTTGAGGTCAAGGTGAGTCACGCTGACCGCCTCCAGCGTTCTCCGCACCCCCAGCCGCAGGCTGTCCACACGCACGGAGGTGGGGCTGAGGATGCCCGCGTCTGCGTTCCTGGACCCCCCTGAGGCCGTGTCCTCCTGTCTGGTTGGCATTCTGGCCTCCCGGTACTTGTGGGAATGCGGGGGGGAGCTCTGTGGCCATGCCTGCGGTGGGCGTGGCCTGTGGTCAGGAAGCGCCTCGGCCACTCTGCTGCCCGCTGTCCCCAGGAGCTGGCTCTCAGCACGCTCATGAAGTTTGTGCAGCTGGAAGGAGCTCACCCCCTGGAGAAACCTAAGTGGGACGGCTACTACCTGTTCCCTCGGCAGCTCTTCAAGGTGGGTTGCACGGGGGTGGGGGACAGAGCCTCCGGCCAGAGCTGGGACAGGCCCTGGCGCAGGTGGCTAGTGAGTGCCGTGCGTTTGCCGTACCCTCCCCTGCGGGAGGGGTGAGGCTGCCGGCTCGGTGGTCTCCTTAGGCGGTCCCTTGGGCGTGGGGCTGACGCACTGAGGCCCGCCTCCCTGCTCGGCACCCAGGCGGTGGTGGAAGGCCTGCTCTCTCCGGAGGACGACTGCTCGCTGCTCCTGTCCCGCTTCCAGGAGTACTTGGAACACGACGACATCCGCTACCACACGATGCAGGCAGCCACGGCCGTCGTGGGCCGCGTCGCTGACGGGTACCCAGAGGTGAGCCGGCTGGGTCCCGTGGCTGGGGGATGGGTGGGCGGCGGCCATACCCGTACTCAGGTTAGGCTTTGTGCAGGTGCCGCTCACGTTCTGGAACAACGCCTTCACGCTGTTGTCGGCTGTGAGCCTCCCCCGCCAGGAGTGTAGTTTCTCCAGCTTCTACGTGAAGCACGTGGGTGAGCGTCCTGGGCAGGCGGTTGGGCAGGGGCACCCGGTGGGCTGCCTCCTCTCCCGCATGCCCGCTGATCCTTGCCTTCTGTGCAGAGCTGTCGCGCACGTGGAAGGTGGTTCATCTGAAGGTGAGGTGCTGCGGAGGGGTTGGTGGCCTCCCTGGGAGGGGGGTCCTTTCAGAAGGAGGCACGCATGTGGGACGGGAAGAGAACTAGCTGCCTCTTGCCTGGTTTAGACAGGTGCGGGGTGCCACACAGGGACTCCTCATAGGGACCGGGAGCGGGGTGGGGGAGGCGCACAGGTACCCGGTTCCCAGGCTCTCTGCGGGCCCTTGTTACTGTGGGCGGTCACCGACGCGACGTTCCTCTGCTCCCGTATGGCTGGGATCCATGCGGGGCATTTTCTTTTGTCTAGTAGGGGGTTCTCGGATTTGGGGTTTCGAGCTCCTCCCACAGGGCAGCGGGGAGGCCGTGTGTCTGGTGTCCCCTCCTGGGGGCAGCTCTGACACCATATCCACCCTAGGAGCACAGGAAGGCGTTCCAGCTGATGTGGCTCGGCTTTCTCAGGCACAAGGTAGGGGCGGGGTGGGGCGGGCGGGGAGCAGGCGCCCCGTCTGGCTCCGTATGGCCCACGGGGTTCTTGGAGTGGGGCAGGTGCACCCACACCTGCGGCTTCCCGGCAGCTGCCTCTGAGCCTCTACAAGAAGGTGCTGGTGGTCATGCACGACTCCATCTTGCCGCACCTGGCCCAGCCCAGCCTCATGATCGACTTCCTGACCCGCGCCTACGACGTGGGTGAGTGCTGAGCTCCCGGGTGGGCCAGTGTGTGCCCGCGGGCTGGGCTCCTGTGGCCGGGAGGCTGGTGGGCCGTCCTCAGGAGTCTGCTTCCTCCCCTCCCCCCGGCCTGGCGGCCTGCAGCTTTGTTGGACTCCCCCCGGGCTGGAGGGGTGGGGTGGGCTGGGGCTTCACAGCCATACATGTGTCTGCAGGGGGAGCCATCAGCCTCTTGGCCTTGAACGGACTTTTTGTCCTGATTCACCAGCACAACCTGTGAGTACTCACCCGGGAGGTGTCCGCCCTGGGCTGGGGAGCCGGCTGGGCTGTGCCCAGGGAGGTGGGGTGGGAGTTGGGCTGGAGAAGGGCCGGGGCGGGGACGGAGCCCCTGGAAGCCGCCACCGGTCTCTTCGTTGCTCCACCCCCCCTCCCCTAGCGAGTACCCCGATTTCTACCGCAAGCTCTACGGTCTACTGGACCCTTCCGTTTTTCACGTCAAGTACCGGGCCCGGTTTTTCCACCTGGCCGACCTCTTCCTGTCATCCTCGTGAGTGCCAGAGGCGGGGCTGAGACCCGGAGCGGGGACTGGGGTGCTGGGCGAGGGGGTCTCACACCTACCGTCCCGCCCAGCCATCTGCCCGCCTACCTGGTGGCTGCCTTCGCCAAGCGCTTGTCCCGCCTGGCCCTGACGGCGCCCCCCGAGGCCCTGCTCGTGGTCCTGCCCTTCATCTGCAATCTGCTGCGCCGGCACCCCGCCTGCCGCGTCCTCGTGCACCGCCCCCTGGGCCCTGGTGAGTGCGGCTGGGGGCGCTGGGGACCTGGGGGCCCGCCCTCCCCCAGCAGCCAGTACACTGGGGATCGGTTGTGGAGCAGGGCCTGGTCTCATTCCTAGAGCTGGATGCCGACCCCTATGACCCCGAAGAGGAGGACCCCGCCAAGAGCCGAGCTCTGGAGAGTTCGCTGTGGGAGCTGCAGGTGAGCACGCCGGGCACGTCACCCATCTCCTGGCCCACCTGGGTGTGTGCAGCATGCGGGTCTCCTGGCTGCCCGGCGGGGGGTGGTGATGTCACACGTGCTCTGCAGGCCCTCCAGCGGCATTACCACCCCGAGGTGTCCCAGGCCGCCAGCGTCATCAACCAGGCGCTGTCCATGCCTGAGGTCAGCATCGCGCCGCTGCTGGATCTCACGGCGTTTGAGGTGAGGGGGGGACGCTGAAGCCTGGGTGGCCGGGGTGCGGGGACCGCGCAGTGTGGGAGCGTCCATCTGTCCGTCCCTTGCAGGTCTTCGAGCGGGACCTGAAGAAGAAGGGCCAGGGGTCAGTGCCACTGGAGTTCATCCCCGCCCAGGGTCTGTTGGGCCGGCAGGACGACCTCTGCGCCCAGCACTTCACGCTTAGCTGACCCTGTGACCTCCCCTCCCTCCTCGGCCCCCATAAGTGGTTTTGTGGGAGAGCCACTGGGGTGGGCTGTGGGTAGCTAGGAGGGGTCTGGGGAGGCGCTGAACCCGTCTCCTGGCTCCCGTGGTGGCCATGTTTACAGGCCGACGTCCATAGTGCTGGCCACGCTGCGTCCACCTGCAGCAACCCCCGCTCCGGAACGTGGTGTCCAGGGGTCTCTCCCTCCACTGAAGCCTGTGGGGAGGGGGGCTGCAGAAGTGGCTCCTGCCACGGGGCTCCGGGTGCACGGGTGTGGCTGCTGCCAGCCCTACAAGCTTCCCCAGGCACCCCACACTCCTCGGGGCCCTCGTATCCAGGGAGGGTCTGAGCCACACCCCCCGCCTGTCCAGTGCAGTTGGACTCCGTGACCCAGGAGCGACAGTGAGGGCTCTGTCCTGGTTAGTCTTGGGTGCACAGGGAGCGCACACGCCCATTCCTGGCCAGGGCCAGAGGAGGACACCTTTGTCCCCTGACCCCCAGGGTGCCGGGCTGTGTGTGCCCGGTCAGAGGGAGTTAGCTGGAGGCCGCTTCACCCTTCCATCCTGTCCCCGAGCAGAGTGGGCACCGGCAGCCACAGGCCAGTGGCTTATTTTGTGCCAGGGTGTTTGTTCCTTCGAGGCCCCATTTCTGCCAGGCGAGCCTGCTCCTTGAGTCTGGGTTTTCTCTTTAAAAACCTGCTTGTCTGGGGACGGAGGAGTCGGTGTGACGGCAGCTCACGTAGGCTGGGGGGGCTGGCAGAGGCACAGGTGGGGGTGGAGAGCCCGCGAGGGAGAGACCCCTGTTGCCCTGCAGCCTCCTGAGTTCCCAGGACACCCCCACCCCACAGGAGCGCCCTGGGGTCACAGAGGGCAGTCGTTTGGCCGCTTTGGTCTCTGGGAGCTGCTCCTGTGGCCCAAGACCCTGGTGTGCCTGGTGGGGGCTTTGCCCAAGGAGTGAAGGGGCGCCTCTTCTCCGTACAGGGTTGTGTGAGTCAGGGACACTAGCGCCCCACCCCCTAGCTGAACTGCCCTGGCTCCCTCCCAAGCTGGTTCCTGCCCCAGGGCCTTTACACTGCTGTTGCCACAGCTTTCCCCTGATCTTCAGACCCCAGGCTGAGTGAGGCCTTGTGGAGGCCTCTGTCGAGCATCCTGTGTATAACAGCGTTTTGTGCGTCCCACCTGGCACCCACTTATCTTCATGGCCCGGCTGCCCTGCAGCAGTCCACCGACTGTCCCTGCCCACCTTCCCAGGGACCGAGGAAGGCTCGTTACTGACTGGCCTCGTCCCCTGGCCCAGGACTTGCCTGGCTCGGAGGAGGGGCTCATGCACATTTGTGGGGACGGTCTCCAGGCTCCTGAGTGGCCTGCTACCAGAGGTCACCAGTGCCCCACCTGAGCCTCGGTGTGGGGACACCAGGGGGCAGATGGGTGGGCTGAGGCCTCACTGATTAAAAAATGCCATTGATGTTTAAAGTTAAATTATAAAAGGCTTAAGCAGGTTTTTATTTTTTTCCAAATTCAGCATCGTGTGTTCTGTGTAGACACTCTCATTTTGGCAGATTCGGGGACTCGCACGCCCTGGACACCTCAGTCCACTACACCCCCTGACCCCCAGGGCTGGGCAGCTGTATTTTGCCACGTTGGTATTGGGTTGGTGTTTCTTTTTTATTTTATTTTAATTTTTTCTAAAGATTTTGTTGAGTAAGAGAGTAAGCGTGGAGGGGGGGCAGAGGCAGAAGGACAAGCAGACTCCCTGCGGAGCTTAGAGCCCAATGGGGGGCTGGATCCCAGTACCCCGAGATCATGACCTGGGCTGAAACTGAGTCGGACGCTCAGCCCACTGAGCCACCTAGGCCCCCGGGTTGGTGTTTCTCCACCTCCGGTCCTGGTTGCCCTTTGGGTGGTCGGCTGAGTGGACGTGGGGTGGGGGCAGGGATGGAGGAGACGGCAGCCCCGCTGGGGTGGCCGGGACAGCCTCTGAGGCTTCAGGGCTGGGGGCCTGACACCTGACCGGCGTCAGGGTTTCTGGTCCAGGGGATATTAGAGCTAGATGGTCAGGGGCTCTGGAACCCTCTGGGATCTGAGTGAAAGTGCTGGGGTGGGGCCTGGGGTCTGCACGTGTAGACCCTCCCTTGCCAGGCAGTCACTGTCCTAGGAGATTTGAACATCCTGGGGAGAGTACACGACACTGCTGGGCAAGAGCGTCTGCGTGGAGGACTTTTCATACCGTTCGTGGCTCCCAGCCCGCCTGCCACGGCAGACCCAGGGTCAGACTTGGGGGGGGGGTGTCTCAGGGATCCTGGACTGGCCGTGGGGGTCAGATGTCGGGGGGTCTTGGGGACCCCGGACTGGTCGTGGGGGTCAGATGGGGGGTCTCAGGGACCCCGGACTGGCCGTGGGGGTCAGACGTCGGGGGGGTCTCAGGGACCTCAGACTGGCTGTGGGGGTCAGACGGGGGGGTCTCAGGGACCTTGGACTGGCTGTGGGGGTCACACGGGGGGTCTCGGGGACCCTGGACCAGCCGTGGGGGTCAGACGTTGGGGAATCTCGGGGACCTCGGACTGGCCGTGGGAGTCAGACGGGGGGTCTCGGACCCCTCGGACTGGCTGTGGGGGTCAGATGTGGGGGATCTCACGGACACCGGACTGGCTGTGGGGGTCATGTGGGGGGTCTCGGAGACCCCAGACTGGCCATGGGTGTCAGAAGGGGGAGTCTCGGGGAAATGGGTGTGTATGAAGTTGGGAAACCCCTGAGAAGGCATCCTTGCAGCTGCTCCCCCACCAGGCAGTAAGCGGGACAAAACCCCCATGACGGGAGCTCATAGGTCATCAGGCAGAGCAGGGCGAGGGATACCTCCGGAGTAGAAAACATCAGTGGAGGCCGCCTTGGATGGAGCGTCCAGAACCGACGTCCAGGCCCCGGGGGGCAGCAGGGGCAGTCAGGAGCCTCCCGGGTAAGGGAGGACCAGCGGCCTCCCGTATGGTCCTGGGATGGCATAGGTGGGATGATGGACCTTTCAGGGTGTGGGGGAGGGCACGTAGTGAAGGGGGGGCACGTGGGGATCCCCAGTGCCGCGGTGTGTGTGACCCTGACCAGGGTCGGTGCCCATGGATGGCCCGGCCCTTCCCTTCTCCCCTCCGCTTGGGGTAGCAGTGGCCTCCTTGTCCACTCGGTTCGTCAGCCCCCATCACCGTGTAGCCACCCCCCAGTACCAAATGCTACTTCTCTCTTCCCGGCCCATACGTCCCTCCCTGACACCACCCAACCCAGGGGAGAGGGGGACCCTGACCAGTGGAGACCCCACTCCTGTCATATCCAGAACCGGAGCTGAGAACAGAATGCGTATCGGTTTGCAGAAGCTCAGGGGTGTGGCATTTCCTGCCCCGCGAGGAGGTTCGCGGGGAGCTGGCCCTCTTGTTCTGGGGGCCAGGGACACAGGGCCCCTTCCTGTGCCCGTGAACAGCTCCCGGCTCACTGCCCCCCTCCCGGCGCGGAGGCTCCAGTGTAGACTGAGCACCTACTGTGCGCGGGAGTGTCCTTCTGCACACGCCTGGCCAAGCCTCTCCAGGGAGCCTCTCCCTCCCTCCCTTAGTCTCCCATGCCCTGTCCCCTCCAGGAGGTGAGTGGGGCTGGGGGGCAATGAGGTCACGGTCAGCCAGGTCACGCGATGAGTCGTGTCTGTCCTCGTGATAAGGAGCGTTCGCCCCTGCCTGGCATTCAGCAGATTAGCTGCAGACAATTCGATGTCAGCAGGCGTCCTCCTGAGAGGTCAGTCAGCGAGAGGAGCTCAGCGACGACCCGTCCCCCGTAAGCGCTTTCCCGCTGCACTGCGCCCCTGCGCCCCGTTCGCTCCCCTCTGCGGGGGAGGAGATGGTCCGTTACCGGAAGCCGCCAGCCTCACTGCCACTTTCAGGAGCGGGGTGGTGGAGGTTGTGGCTTCGGCCTGCACGCCCAGCCTCAGCTGTCGCAAGGGGGCTGCGCCCGGTGCTGGGGCTGCTCCAAATTACTCCAGAGCTTAGCGGCTCGAACCCAGGTCTTTGCAAAGGGCCAGAGTGGCTGGTGTGGCTTCGGGCCCCACGCAGCGGCTCGCCTGCAGCACCGTGGAGCGTGCAGGGCACAGGGCACGCGTGGGCCCCAACGGCTGCCCGCAAGGGCAGGTGGGGGGCTCGGCCTGTGGGTCGTGGCCGGCCATGCCCCGGCCTGGTGACCTCTCCTCCCTTTAGAAGCCAGGCCGTGTGCCCGACTGGGCGTCTGGAGACGGCTCCCGTCCACGGACATGCAGATGAACCTGGCCTCCGGGCAGGACCAGTGACGTCCCCTACCCGTGGAGGGGTCAGTTTGCGTTTGGGGAATTCCTTCGGGGCTTCCTGCCAGGCCCGCGCCCGGGGTTCCCCTCGGGGACGCTGGACTGTCTTACAGGTCGCCTTCGCCTCGTTACCCAGCGGTTGGACAGACGCTTTGACGACGTTCCCTGTACGTCTGCATAAGATCCCCGTGACCTCAGTCCCAGGCGTGGCCATGCTTACCACGTTGGCGCCCATTCCGCTTCGCCACAAGTCCCAGAATGCCGCCGGCCCCCTGCCTTGGAGGCGTGACAACCCAGCGCGCGCTCACCCCCCTTCTCTGCTGACACCAGAGCATCCTGTGCCCTGTGTGTCCCCGGAGTTGCGATACTAAATCGTCTGTCAGTCAGTGTCGATTGCTTTTGCTTTGACCATGGAGAACGTTTGCTGGTATTTCTGTGCTTAATTTTGTTAATTGGACACAACCAATTCTTGGAAATTGGATCAAATACTGGATGTGCAGCAAGACGTTTGCTACCAGCAGAACGCAGCAAGGTCTGGGACCCTGCAGGCACCCACCAACCCCTCCCTCTCCACCCTTTCCTCCCCTGGCCCACGGCACCCAGCCTGTCCCCGAGGGTGGGGATGGTCACCAGTAGCCCACTGTGTGAGCGCAGGGAGCTGAGCGCCCCCCCTGGAGATCCGGACTTCTTACTGGAAGAAGCGGAGATGGGTGCACAGCGGCCAAAGAGCAGATGCCCTGACCCCGTCCTCAGAGGGGCCGCCCACCGTGGGGTCTTCGCGACTGCTTCTCCCACAGAGCATGATGTGGTCACGGTCCATCCACGCTGTAGTGTGTCCGCTGGTCCACTCCTTTCGTGGCCAAATAACATTCCTTCGTGTGTTGGGGCACCTGGGTGGCTCAGTCGTTAAGCGTCTGCCTTCAGCTCAGGTCATGATCCCAGGGTCCTGGGATCGAGCCCCACATCGCTTCTCCTTCTCCCTCTGTCTACCACTCTGCCTACTTGTGCTCTCTCTCTGTCAAATAAATAAATAAAATCTTAAAAAAAAAAAAATCCCTTTGTGTGGATGGACACGTCGGGTTTGCCCAGTCGTCGGTGTGGGGACTGGCCGGCCCTGGAGCCGTCCCCCAGGCAGGGGCAGACCCGAGGACATCTGGGACAACGTGTGCATTTCCCGCAGCACGCGGATCGATTTCTCAGGCAGGGCTCCCGCCCCTCTGTTCACGTTACCATGTAACAAAGGACCCCAAACGCAGGGGCATCAACAGCATTTGTGTCCCCAAGCCCTGCGGTCAGGGTGCAGACGGGGCTCCACCCGACAGCTGGACCAGCTGTGTGATGCTTGGCAGCTCCGGCGGGGACAGCAGCGCCACCGCATTCTGACGAGTGCGTGGGGAAATGCAGGTGAACTGCTCTGGGGCCGTCCTCACACAGAGCCAAGACCCGGGTGCTGCAAGCAACCGAGGTGTGGTCTCTGCAGGTCTGAAGGCCAGACGTCCTAATGCAGGTGATTCAGGGCCAAGCTGTCTCTGGAGGCTGCAAGGGAGGGTCCTCCCTGGTCTCTCCAGCCTCCGGTCGTGGCTGAGGATCCCATCCTGTGGCTGCATTCCTCCCACCCCTGCCTCCATCCCTGCCCGTCCCCTTTATCCACTCCCTGAAGCTGGGCATTGTCCACGGGGACATCAGGGCACCCTGCAATCCTGTCCCTGTGCACCTAGACCCAACTGGGGAGGGCCTTGCTCCCACCACTGCAGCCTGGGCCACGAGGAGTCAGTCTGGCCCTAGGGGATGAGCGCATGGCGGCCCAGGGCCCATCAGGCTCCTGGTTTACGAAAAACTGTGCAGCCAGTTTTAGGCAGACTCCTTGAAGGACTTCACAAAGGGAAGCACTCTCCGCCCTGGGGGGTGTGCATGTCTGGGGGGCTGGCCCCGCCCAATAGGCCACAAGGGGAACTCACAGACCAAGATGGGGGTACCCGGACCTAAATGGGCAGCGGGTGCTGAACCCGGACCTGGGAGCTGGTGCTCAGAGACGCTTGGCATCAGTGGATCCAAGTCGTATCCCGCATGACGGCGCCTATGGGCCCCGAAGCCCGAGCTGGACAATCTGGACTGCTGCTCAGCGAGGGTCGAGAGGGACTGTCGGGCTGCCCTCCAGAGGGACACCTGGGAG